GGGGGAGGCAGTAGAAAACCTACCAGCAAAAGTCAGTAAGAAGTTAGATGAAGGTCTGTGAGCAGTTACAGAAGGATCATCAATCCTCCCTTGGATGCTGACCTGAATGAATTCTCAATGAACCTTACATGTCTTTCCTTCTATAATTAACGTCAGCGCCTGGGCTCGCCAAAGGAAGGGAGTGGGGTGACATCCTGTGTAACACTTGTTCCACTGCACAAAAGGATGGGCACCAAAGCTGGAGGAGGAGAGCTGGGGGAGCCCGTGCTTGGAACGAGGTAGGGCACGCTGCTGGGCACGTGATGCTGAGTCACACGGGGCGAAGTGTGGATGCACATTTGCTGGTTCGAAATGTATATATAGTTCTGCAGTTATGCCTGTAGATACACTAAGCAGAAACACAGGGGTTATGCCTTCTTCAGTACCCCCAAGGAGAAAGCAGCAATGTAATGCAGCGAGATAACTACTAATTGCCTGCTATGACACAGAATTTAAGCCAGAAGCAAACTGCAACAATATGAGCTTTGTTGCCTGGGATGGAAACAGAGAGAAAGCAAAATCCAGCTGACTCCCTCGAAAGGAAAACCTTGAGCGTGGAATTAGCATATCAAAGCTTCATGTGTTATTGTAGACAAGTTGAACGCTGTTTCATCTTCATCATCACTAGCTAATCAGAGCTATTAGAACAACACATATCTGTAAGATTAATTAGCCAGCAGGAAGAGGAGCAGAACTCACAGGCTGCTGTGAATACACGGCAGCCCTCCAATCATTTTTCTTTGTAATTAGAGCAAAGTTTAGCGTGAACTAGACAAAAATGCATCCTTGAAATGAACTAACTCTTACCCAGCTTGAGAAGACTCTCACAGAGGCATCTCAGGGTTTGGGGAAGAGTGTACTTTTTGCAAGCTTCATTGTGGTTTGGGAGGAGATATCAAGTATTAGGTAAAATAAAAGACCTTTCTTGCAGTAGTTGGTACCCTTTGGGCAAGGAGTAGGCAGTGGAAAAGCAACTTAAAGCTGCAGGAATAAGTTTGTTGGTCCTAGAGAGCCATTAAAGTGAAGAAAATTACTGATGAGTAATAAAGAACATCAGCTGAAAGGAGAAGAAACCAATCATACGATTGTATAGAAAGCTCTGAAGACATTGGGGCAGAGTTTCAGCATATTATCAACTCAAAAGAGATCAATTAAGGCAAAATGTGTGGGAGAAGCAGAAAAGAAGCAGGATATACTGTAAGCAGTAGTAATGTTACTGTTAGCATTTACTGTTCTGTAAGCCCTTGGTCATACCTGAGACAAAAACAACTTACAACTTAAAAGCTACCAAGATCTTATGAAGAGAGATAAAGTAACACGGAGTCTTTGCTGTCTTTAGCATAATAAGGGAATATAGAATAACAGAATAATCTGAGTTGGAAGGTGCCTTCAAAGGCCATCTAGTCCCACTCCCTGCAGTGACCACATTGCTCAGAGCCCTGACCATCCTGACTTGAGTACTGCCACGGACAGGCAGAGGGCACCACCACTTCTCTGAGCAACTTGTGCCAGTGCTTCATTCCCCTTACTGTCAAAACTTTTTCTTTATATCCAACCTAAATCTCCACTCTTAGTTTGAGATCACTTCCCCTTGTCCCATCACAACAGACCCTGCTGAAGAGTCTGTCCCCTTCCCTCTTACAGCCCCCTTTAGGTACTGAAAGGCCACTCTCATGTCTCCCCAGAGCCTTCTCTTCTCCAGGCAGCACAGCCTCAGCTCTCAACCTGTGCTCACAGGGAATGCGTTCCATCCCTATACATCCCTAATATCTCCGTCAGTAATCAAATCTTTATTTGAATGTTATTATTTTGTAGGGGTGCAGAGCTGGTCTGCACTTCTTCAGAGCAGGAAAGATTCCTTTGGCCAATCATACTGAAATTATTTTGAGATTTATAGAAAAGCAATATAACCATAGAAAAAGTGGATTTCCAGGCAGGCCAGAATGTGTTGCGAAGGCAACATTGACTCATGCAGACTGAATTTTGGCAAGTAAAGTCTTACCAACAGCTGAACAGACAGAGAATTTAACTTGCAAAACCTACCTACAGCACAGGCATTGAGAAACAAAGAAGCACACACAGATTTCAGCTTTTAAGTACTGGCAGTAACTAATTAATAGCATTAAGCAAGGTTATTTCTTGCAATTTGCAATCCTTAATCTCTAATTAGTAAATAATACTTTGGAAGCCAGAGTTGCAAGTTCTTTTCAAATGCCTTTGTTTCTCTACTCTCATGTGTTATACAGCAAGCCAAGAAGCCAGTCCAATCCAACAGGTTGCCATCCTTAGTTATGTTTGGTGTTAACTGATTCCCCCCCCCCCCCCCAAAAAAAAAAGTTTCAGTTCTAGGTGCTAGAAAGATATTATTAGGTTTATATTGTTAAGATAAAAGAGAGCCAGTGGTGTGAGGGCACAGGGGGCGGCCAATTAATGCATCGTCCAGCTGCTCCCAGGCCCCCTCACAGGACCTGCAGCCCATCCAAGGCCCATCTCCAGAAGCCTAGAGGTGCACAGGAGCACAAAGGCAATGGGTAACCTAAATCACAATTGGTGATTACTAGTCTGTGTCAGCAGCTGCAAGGGAACAGTGGTTTCATGGGCTCCAATGTTCGGGTACAGCAATGAGTGAGACTGGAATCCAGGGAGCAGATTACTCTTAAGAAGTCACAAAGTGCCTCTTACCAGAATTTTGTGACACCCTGTAGAATTCTCAGATGTTTTTCAAAGATGAATGATATGAGAATCAGCTTTTAAAATAATAGTTCTCTGATCTTTCACGGTGTTTTTTGAGTTGCTGTAAAAAGGAAAGTTTTCCAGATTCAGAGAAATCTGCAAAGATGCAGGCAGAATGAGAGTAAATAAAACACTGCTGCAAAGAGAGACAAAACAGTGCAAGAGTAAATTAAATGCATGATTAATAACATAATTAATACAATCAGGAAGTAATCGACAAGTCAAATATCGCTCTGGTTTTAAACCCTTTTATGTAAGCCTGCGCTGAAGCTCTGTTGCCAATGCCTGTGGCTCTGGGTGTTACAACGCTGAGTGTTGAGGTGCTGCTGCCACCCTCTGTCTGTCTCATATTCTGCAGAACTTTCCCCACACAGACAACAAAAGCAAGCAGGAACTGTTCTCACTAATGCTGCAAATAACAACTGTGTCATGAATTCCAGCTGCTGGAGGTAAAGAAGTCGTTGCATTCAGAGGCTTGGGTCTGTTCTCCTGTCTTCAGCCAAAACGGAGTTGGCTTTTAGCTTCTGGGTTTTTCTGCACTTGAAACTTGTTTTTGAAGAGTGGTGAAGTCAAAGCAAGTCACTGTGTAACTTAGATGGACGTGAAAGTTTAACAGAGTTCAGAGCTGAAGTCCAGGGAACACACACACAAAAAAACATATTATCACTCACTGCTGCTTCATTTGAATTTTTGTGCAAGATTTGTTTTGCTTTCAAGCTGCTTCTTGCTTTGGTAAGGGAAACCTATAGCAAGTTGCTGCTCTGCTTCATCGATTTCCATAGAGGGCTTCTTAAAATTCATTTTCCTCAATAAAGCTGTAATGGTGAGACTCCAGAGTTACTAAATCAGCGACTGCTGTTGAATAACCCACGATTCTAATATTTCTGTGCTGTAATTCTCACCTATCCATTACTTTAACCGCCAGTTCTGAATTGTTCAAGGCAAAATCCTTTCTGTTCTGAGTCAGCAGTGTCAGGAAATGAGCTTTTAGTGCCTAATAAAATAAATCTATTGGCACTTGTGCTGGAGTCCTTCCAAAGCGATGCGATACTGCTTTGCTGCACTTGAATTTGTTTTTCCCTTTTGCACCAGGATCATCTGGATTAAATACAACTACTTTGACTAATATGGCACCAGGTGAGTGTATGAAGTGCAGTGACAGCTGAAAACAGCAATTTCTCCCTGCTAGAAAGTGTACCATGGTCCATGTTTCTACCACACTGAAGCCCTGGATCCTACAAGCAACCAGCTCAGCTCTGCCTAAAAAGCACTCTTTGGATCATCTTTATCAAAGAAATTAAAATCAGACGAGAGAGAGAAGCGTTCTGGGCTTCCTACAGGGCCACTGAAAAGGAATGGTGCTATAAGAACAATGCCAGGGGAATAACAAGCTTGTAGGAAAACTCGTGTCTGTTTCAGCATCACAAAACATCAGTGCTGCAACACATAAGTGAGAAGTTTCATCCACATCATTCCAGGTTGCTCTACATCAGCACACCGCACTGTGTTCAACTACAGGGGATACATTCAGTGCACCTGCACATCCCCCACTGGCATCTCTTTTAAAGTGACCCACAGATAGGTCAAGAAGGGTTGAAATAGAAAGAACAAAATACTCAGACATTTTAAGCTTAAAATATATATTTTTAAAGTATGCAATTGTTTTGGCTGGAATAATTTTGTTATAATTGTTTCATATATTTAGAGGATTAAGGAGGAAATTTCGGTATAGGGATCACAAAATAATTCTTTATCTCATTTAAGTAAAACTCTGTTTTTATCCGCAAGTGGAGAACCTGAAGCCCACACGGGAGCGACCCGCGCGTTGCAGCAAAGGCGCCGCTTCCGCGTTTCCGCGCGCATGCCTAGTAGTGCCTGGAGGACCTTTCACCATCGAGACTGGCGGCAGAGTGGCTGCAGCAGTTAACCCACTTCCGCGTCCCAACGCGCATGCGTGTTGCTATATGGAAGAGTATAGAGATTGGCGGACCCGGTGGCTCAGAGGCTTCAGCAAGGGGACGCTAGTTCCCCACGCATGCAAGGACCGATGACATCAAGTCCTGGAGGACTGGCGGGGCAGAGCGGTTCAAATCCACCCCTGGATCTGATCAGTGCTGATCGGTATCTGAATGGCAGCAGTCAGGAGGATGGGGCTCTGATCGGTGGTGCCCAGCAACAGGAAAAAGGGCGATGAGCACAAATGAGAAAACAGAAGTTCCATACAAACATCAGGAAAAAAAAATACCTTCTTTACTGCAAGGGTGGCAGAGCTCCAGAACAGGCTGCCCAGAGAGGTGGTGGAGTGTCCTCTGGAGATGTTCAAACCCACCTGGACACTTTCCTGTGCAACCTGCTCTAGGGAACCTGCTTCAGCAGGGCTTGGACTGGGGGATCTCCAGGGGTTCCTTCCAACTCCCCAGGTTCTGTGACTTTGTAGCAGATGGCCAAATGTGCAGTCAGTTAGATAGAAAACCCTCATATGACCAACAGTTACTGCAGAAAGGTACAATATATCAGAGGAAGCTGTTCAGGGACTTCAGACTTCATGCATGTTTCCATGCAGCTTTCTTTATGCTGTTCCTTCACCTTTGATTCCATTTCAAGGAATTTCAAGCCATTTATTTCTGGGTGTCTCATTCATTCTCATTGCTTCTTCTCTGGTATCTCATCCGTGTTTCTTGCATAAAGTTTTTGAAAGCTGGTTCTTCGTGACTCTCCTCAGTAACTGAGAGGAAAAGAAAAAAATAATCAGTTTAACACCATTTCAGCATTTGTTCTATTTGTGTTCCTGAAGAAAACCAGAATCATGCTAGTCTGAGCAACACCGCAGGTCCATTTCATTACAAGGGAAAAGAAAGAAGTGATCCTGAATATTAACTGAACAAGGAAAGAATGAAGATAAAGTCTGCAAACTCTGTAACAGAACACGACACAGTATAAGAACTTAAAAGGCATAACAAGTTGCCTAGTGCATGCATCTTATTTTATGCATTATTTTATTTAAAATGCTTACTCAAGTATAAAATTTGCAGTTGAACTTCCACAAGTGTGGTGAAGGAGTGTGATATCACTGAACTGAGCACTGTAGTGGGCTTCTGCTACAGATTCAGACACCTTTATTTAGGTGATTGGATGTTTGCTTTTCCCTTAAGCTCTCGTTACGGTCAATACAGTTAATGAAATACAGAGGATATTTCATGCCTAGATGAGCTGCTTTTAGATCAGATCCCATCTCTCATTCCCTTACCTTCATGGTCGATGTCATCAGTGTCACTCTCCCTCTCTTCTTCATCCTCATCAAGATTTCCTCGTGTTAGGATCAGCTCAGAGGGACCCATTGCAGAAGCATCATCAGACCCTTGGAAGGAACAGAAATGGTTATAGGCAAAACATCACACTAACAAGTAAGTTAGCTCATGCTCTGACCATTTCTATGTGCATACTATAAATACCTACTCTAAAGGGAATCTGTAAGCACGAGCTTTCTATCTAAAGATTCAGGACAGACTGCATCAGCACCAAACTGAACCTTATACAAGGCAACAGCTCAACAAACAGGACAATTTTCTCATATTCTAATTTGACTGTTTCATCTTTTCTCAAATATTTCATTCCTCTGAGTACATCCACTGCTTTATCTACACCCCAGGGTTTCTTCTTTGCGTGTTTGTGACTGACACACAGTAGAGGTAAGTCTGACCCACCCCACAGGAACTGAAGTCCCACTCCACTAAGATGAACACTTTCATGTTTTTGCAGAGGAAAGCTCTATGTGATTTGTCAAGGCAGACTCTTCAGAGAGCTTCTGCAGTAAACTTCATCTTCATTCCTGAGAAAATACCTGCAAGTGTGTTGCCCTGCATGCACACAGGGCCCATGTCCTTCCGAAGGCGCTCCAGCTGATCTCTCTTTTGTTTATTTTGAGCCTTCTCCTGTGGGTACAAAGTTACAAGTGGCTTCTCAAAACATTTAAAATACATCTCCCACAATACTCTGTCCCAGGGGTGAAACAAAAACAAAAACAACCCGAAAAACAGAAGTCAACAAAGCAGGTCTTACACTGCAGCTGAAGTTACACAAAACTTCTGGTTAAGCATGGAAAGCAACCTCCAGCATGATGAACTTCAGGAACATTTTCAGCAGCATAAGGAAATCTAACTTAATGAAGCTTTGCCTGCAAGAACTCTCCTTGCACAGCCAGAACTCTATGTGAGCAGAGCTACTCATTTTGGCATTCCAATTCGGTCTTCATTATGAATTATCTCAGTCAAAACTGTGCATTTGACGGGTGCAGAAATATGCACTTGAATTATTTAGCACTAATACAGCGAGCGACATCTCTTCTACAAAACACCCCTATTTCTGTAAAGATGTGCCTCACCAAATCTAGGGGAAAAAGTCAGCCTGTGAGCTTCAGACCTTTTCACACTTAATATTAAATGAAATGTTACAGCCTTGCAACACAGAGTCAGTTCTACACATAAAAGTGACTGCAAGATACAGCACTCCAGGCTACAGCAGTTAAAAGTACTCACCAATGTTTTCCTCAGGCGCTCATATTCAGGACGATATTCCCTGCAAAGGTAAATATGCACAGTTCATTCTCAGCTAAAACATCATTTATGTACAGAAAGGATCACTTTGAAGGCTTTGTTTCTATCCCAAACTAAGGCTACTTCTAACCTGAAACTAAAGGATGTAAAAGAAGTGAATATACTCCCATTAAAATGCCAAACCGTTCTCATGAAGTCTGGTTACATTAAAAAATAAAAATTGGAAAAAAAGAAGAAAAAAAACCAACCCAGCTCTATAGAACTAGTCATTACACTGCCATAACCAGCAAATCACTCACTCTGACTAAACTAAAAGAGGAAAAATCAGATGTTAGAAAGAAATTCTTCATTCAGAGAGCAGTGAGACTCTGGCATAGGTTGCTCAAAGAAGCTGTAGAAGCCCCATCCTTGAAGGCATTGAAGACCAGACTGGATGGGGCCCTGGGCAGCCTGATCTACCACGTGGCAACTTGATCTAGTGGGTGCCAACCCTGTCCAAGGTGACGGGGTTGGAAATGGATGGTCTTTAAGATCCCTTCCAACCTAAGCCATTCTATGAAGTTCACAAAAAGCTCTCTGTGTATCCATCTAATTTGTATGTACACAGCCAGCCACACATGACATCCAGACTCCCTATTAGTTTGATGTGGGGAGCACAAAGCTGTAGCAGCCTTTCTCAGACTGTCTGATCCAGCATGATGTATTCTCCTCTAAAAATAGTATTAGATCTGTCTTAACTATTTCCATGTAACCCAAATTCCTAGATTTGCTTTCTAATGTTACAGAGCAGTCCAGCAGTATTTCATGAGGAAGAATCCAGTAAATCCATCAAGTTCTCAAAGAGTCCTTGAATTTCAGCTCACTCCCCTACTGTCTACCCCTTTATGAGGACAGCACAAAGCTTGATCATTGTACAGAACCAGGTCAAAAAACTGACTTCAGAATTTGCTAGCACAATTGGCTTTTACTTTTTTCCCCACTGACTAGCACAAAAAAATTCAGCACTACATGGTTTCTTTTGATTGCTTCTTCTTATACTCTTAGATTTCAGTTTATTAGAAACCTTACTACCTTGGCTTGAAAAATGAACACTTCTTCAAATGAAAGGAGTAGTTTAGTGAATCAGTAATTTCAGCAAGTATTCGGAGGGTCAGGAATCAAATGTTACCAACTCACCTCTCATATTCTTCTACAGCTTTAGAGAGCTGAACAAAAAAATCATCCAGTCCTGTGCCTAACACAGCAGAGACACCAACCACCTGTAAAAGAAAACCATACATTAGAACTAAAAGGTAACTGACATGAATTTTTAGGTAACGGACAGAGAATGCGAGCTAGAAAGGCTAAGCAATGTCTTTGAAAAAATACCTGTGGGAATCCAGTGATACCCATTTCCTCCCCCAGTCTCTACTTTTAAATAACCCAGGGAATTGAGCGTTCCTTTCTCTTCTATAAAATTGATCACAGAAGAAAAATAATACTAGTTTAAAAAGGAAAACTTGGTTCTGCAGCACACTCTTGTACTTCAGAACTCAATATCCCACAAAAAATACAGTTAAGATAATACAGTGCCTAAATATGATGAACAAGATGGGGCAATTGTGATAGTTTCACACCGATGAAGCTCTGTCACACCACTCTCTCCCATCTCAAAGGAACTGAGGAAAAGAATAACCATTAAAAAAGGCTCGAAGGCTGAGAATGACAAGGAGATTATAGCCACAGGCAGAACAGACTCAGCATGGGGATATTAATGTAATTTATTACCAACTACTAACAGATGATAGCAGTGAGAAACTGGTCATCTTGGCCACAGTGACACTCTGCTGGCTCATGGGCAACATGTTATCCACCAGGACCCTCCTCTGCAGCAGCTCAGCTCCTAACCTGTACTGCTGCACCTGGCTATTCCACCCCACATGTAGGACTCTACACTTGCCATCGTTGAACCTCATCAGGTTCCTCTCTGCCCAACTCTCAGCCTGCCCACATCTCACTGAATGGCAGCACAGCCTTCTCGTGTGTCAGCCTCTTCTTCTGGCTTTGTATCATCAGCCAACTTGCTGAGGGTGAACTCTATCCCTGCATCCAGGTCAGCAATGAAGACGCTGATCAAGGGAACACTGCTACCTGCAGGCCTCCAGCTGGACCCTGAGAACAAATTGCTCCAGCATGTTGAGAACCTTCTGAAAGGCAGCAGAGCATTCCACACAGTTTGACAGCAACTGCAGACTTGCTGAGGAGGCACCCTATCACTTCATCCAAGTCACTGATGGATAAATTAAAGATTACTTGACCCAGGGGGAACACTGCTAGACACCAGCCACCAACTAGACTCCTTGAGCTTTCTCTTCTGCAGGTTTTTGTGAAAGGCATTTACAATTAAAGATAAAATTAAGAAAAAAAAAAAAGAGAGAGAGAAAACTTACCTTCAATGAACTGTAAAACTCATCCAGCACTAAACTCATAGAACGAGTCAGGTTACTGACGTAGGAAGTCTCTTGATTCAGAGCATCCTGAAAAGTCTCAAAGTCCTGCATCCATTCTACTGCAAAACTGTGATCAATTATGTCTGTCTGGAAGGAGAAGACAGAGTTTTCAAGAGTAATAAATAATTAATTCTTTGTCCACATCCTAAGGCTAATTTAAAGAAATGCACGTTAAACTTACTTACATAATGCTGATGTTTTCAAAACATTCAGCCCTGGTCTGCAGTTTTCCAAGTTCTGCTTTTTTTAATTTAATCAACTACTTGAATACAAGAAGACAACACCTATCTCAGTGTTAAGGAGTGTTTAAGAAAACAGCTGGAAGTCTTGCTATAAAAAATGGTATGGCTTACTGAAAGGCATCCAAACCTTGCTTTATAAAACAGCTTAATTTGTAAATGTTACATTTTATGAACGAGGTGTGACAAGAACAGATTGAGTCCTTTTTTAATTGTTTGGGGGCTGTGGGACACTTCTATGTTAGGCAACATGCTATAGCACCTTTCAGCTGTGCTCTGACCTAAAGAACTTACAAACTAAACTCAGAGCAAGATCATGGACACAAAACAGATAAGATGGTTTCATAAGTTTACTTGCATTGCTAATTGAACAGTCTATTAAAGAGTTTTATAAACATATCAAAGTACATGGAAATACTCAACTGTTACAACACAAGTGCCTACAACTGATATATTTCATTTCCCAGCACCAGTAGGAAGGAGGAAAACTGAAAAAGGAAGTATTTCCTTGTATTATTGAAAATACTTGTGAGAGAACTGAACCCACCAAGGATCCAAAACACTGACAATTTAGAAATGCTTTGATTGAGTTCTAAAAGCAAAACTGAATCACCTCTGAAAGTTGGTATTTTTTGTCCTCTGCAATTCTAATATTTCTTAAATCTATGTCACAGAATGATCTGGGTTGGAAGGAACCTTAAAGATCATCTAGTCCCAACCTCCCTGCTGTGGAGTGGGGGGGATGAAACTTGCAATTACACTGAGGTGCCCAAAGCCCCATCCAACCTTGTCTTGAACACTGCCAGGTAGAGAGCATCAACTCCTTTGGGCAACCTGTTCTAGTGCCTCACCTCCCTCATAGGAAATAATTTCTTACTTGTATCTAATCTAAACCTACTCTTAGTTTAAAACCATTAACCCTTGTCCTGGCACTACAGTCCCCAAAGCCTTTTCTTAGAATACAGAAGCCCAGGTGAGGTCTCACAAAGGCAGAGTGAAGACAATCAATCACCTCCTTTGACCTGCTAGCTATGCTTCTTTTGATGGAGCCCAAGGCATGGTTAGTCTCTGGGCTGCAAGCACACGCTGCCCAGTCCTGTGAAGAAGTACCCTCAAGGCCTTCTCTTTATCACTGCACAGTTCTTGGGATTTCTCCATTCTTACAAGGAATCAATTTTGAAGTGCTTGTCAATAATTCTTCAAATGCTGCTGACCCGTCCTGTTCCTGAAGGCTAGAATCCAGATCTAAATGAAGTTGTGAACCTCAAACCTTCCATACACATACTGTGGAAGTTCCATTTCTTTTAGTCTTGCCAAAAAAGCATTTTCTTAAGAGAGAAAACCATTTTTCTGCCTCATGCCCTTTGCCACAGTTTATTCTAGAGCTATTGTCTGTAGAATAGCATACAAAAACTTGCTAAGTAAGGAAGAAGATATTAAAGAAATGCACTGTAAGGGTCACTGTGGAGATGCATGTAGTTGGAGCACATCAGATATCAATCCTGCTCAGCAGAGGCGAGGTAAAATTTCACACTCACAGCACTGACACTGTAAAAAGAAGGATGTGAGATACGTATGCACACACAAAAATTGCTGTGTTGGAACAACAACTCCTTGAATACAAAGAATGCCTGCGAGGAGAAGGAACAGTACTTACAACAGAGTCTTCTAATATATGGAATTATTATGTTTAAAGAGCTGGCAAGCTGTTAAGCTTAAAAGCACTCCTTTAGGCTACAAACCAATACCTAACACAACAACAGAGGTGTATCCTCAGCACAGTATCTGCTTTCTGGCAGATACTGGTACATTTTAAAAGTCACCAATTAGAACCATACCCATTTTGTACAGGCAGGTATGACACAATTCCTACCATAAGTCTTCAGTCCAGTGTTCAGAAGCAATGCTTAAGACAATTATTTTAAGAAGGCAGGGAACTGTAAAGGCAGATTCAGTAATGAACTTACCCTTAAGTTAGAAAGTTATGCTTCCTTATAGCACAGCATTAAGCTGCCAGGAGGCCACGGATGGCACACTTTAAAACAAGTGCTGATGAAAATCTACCAAAAGAACATTGAAGTGGTGGGAATTTCTGGGCCAAGGTCCAAATATTCTACTCTTAAAGACTAAGATGAGAACCTAGTCACTCAGACAACTTCCCAAGGGAAAATCTACCGCTGTGACATACACTTCTAGTTAACACTGAATTTGTAAAACGTATTTTACAAAATTCACTCAAAAAAAGAGTTCAGAACAAGAAAGTCTCAAGAAACCAAACCTCTAACAGATCCTGCAAAACATTTTTCAAATTGGTAGCATGACATCTAATGTCATTTAAATGTTTGGGTGTAACTGCCTGTCCGTTTGTTCTCACTACATACTTTGCCTGGTTAAAGGTCTTTTCTAGATTCAGTTTTCAGCCTGCACCTCCTTCCCAGCCTTTCTTTTTCAGAAAAAGCCTGGTCTGCTGGTTGGCAACCCTGCACACAGCAGGGGAGTTGAAACTCAATGATCATTGTGGTCCTTTTCAACCCAGGCCATTCTATGATTCTACGATTCTGTAATAAGATGAAGACGTTACAACAAAACAAGCTAAAGAGAAAAATACTCTACTGGAACTTAGAAACCATAGCTTTCATTTACCTTGTTCATGACAACAATAAAAGGCAGCTTTGTCTTGTACAGGATACTGAAATTTTAACAGAACAAAAACAAACAACTGTTAAAAATTAATTTAACACTCATCAAAACAGATAAAAATATTAAGCACAAAGCAGGCAAGACTTATGCAAAACATTCCAAGATGACTTCCAGATCTCTTCTGAATCCCTGCAGGCATTCAGGGCCAGGCTGGATGTGGCTTTGGGCAGCCTGGTCTGCTGGTTGGCGACCCTGCATGTGGCAGGGGGTTGGATCTAGGTGATCACTGTGGGCCTTTTTAACCCACGCCTTTCTATGATTCTAGAAATCCAAAATGCTAAGCCCCTACTTGTCAGACATTTAAGTTAGAGCCATCTTTTCTCAGAGACAAGAAGAAGAAAACTGAACTACAGTCAACATCTGGAAGAAATGCATTAAAAGAAGTCAACATTGGGATTCACATACTTAATAATTTGTCTGCTCCATTATTTATTTGAACAACAGAAATCCCTTATTCAAGTCAGAAGGCGGATTGAATATGGCCACAACAACATTCTAACTTTACTGTAAGCCCTGCTCCTTCCTATCAGCCACACTCCCAAAAAGATGAGTTGGACATATTCTCAACTGAAAAGCTCCCTGGATGAAGTCTGAACAAATACTCTCCCACCCCATCAGATAATATGAAAGGGACAAAGCACTCAAAAGAGACAGTTTGCATATTCAGCTTCTCTTACCTGCAGGCATAGAGCATGTTGGACATAAAGGTGATAGGGTTGGTACTGCGAGAGGTGTCCATCACATAAACAACAACTGAAGGAAAAGAGGAAGCCTGGGAAAACATGGCAAAAGGCATCTTGATTAGAAGGCAGGCCATTTTTCACACAGCCTCAATGTCAAGGACAAAGAATACACCCACCAGTGCCTCAGTTATGATGGTTCCTGATGCTGACCACGTGAACACCTCAATCTGTCCTGGTGTGTCAATGATAACATACCTGTTAAGAAGTCACCACCAACAACAACAAAAGGGAAAATTAGGCACACAGTTCTGTTGTGACCAGGTTACCACATGCAGGGAACAGCAAATCACATTATTACTGTGTTACAGATCAGAAAAGCATCCCCCAAACAGTGATGAGATTTATGAGTATAGCTGAAAAATTCCAGTGTGACTTTTGTGAGAAGCACTCACTCTCTTAAGATTCTGTTAGAGCCAAAGGCATGAATTTCACACATGCTATCACAAACTCTCCAGAACCAAAGCCAAGTGCTGCCTGTTCAAGAAGGAAAGCGAGGAAAAAAGTGGAAGTCTGATGAAGGATGAGAAAAGCCAATCTAGAACCAGTAGATATTTCTTTGTAACACATATTTTGTTAAAAGTCCAGTAACCTGTTCTAGTTCCATGCTTTTTTTCCAGATAAAATTTACCCCAAGGCGGAAGAACAACTAGGAAACACACAGAGATCCTTTTTATGGATGCCACATATTTTCCCACATATATTCCAGAGCAGCAAAACCTGGTGGAATACACTCACTTGGATGCATTTTGTCGTTTTTCGATAAACTTCATCACCTGATGGAAAAAGCAGCAGTACAGTTTGTATTTTAGGCTCTGAACAGGAAACTTGAATAATCATTTTGTAATGCAAGCCTCAACTTTAGCTTGCACAGCTACTATAGCTATCAAAATAGACAGTGATACAACAAAAGCTAAAAGTCTCTAAATCTGAAATGGAAACGGATAGCAAACACTCAGATGCTGTGAAACCCTGCAAAAACAGCCCTGATTTTACCTGTGTTCTTGTAGTGCTGAAAACAAATGATACAATGAATGCAGCTGTTCTCTACCTATTTCCTAAGAGATTTGGTACTGCTTTAACTCAATAAGCTTGCCACTCCAGTGCTGATTAAGCATTAACATTTAAGAGAACATAAAATTATCAAATAAGCTTAGAGAAACTTAATCAATCTCCAAAAGTGACTTCCCTACCTCAAAGTCAGAGCAATCGTGCAAGTTTTTACAGGGAATACAGAAACAGAACAGTTATGTGACTTAAAGCTCTGTACACAAGGCCTCAAAATTTTACATTACAAAGAATTGTAGGAAAAGAATAAGGATATATTTCACTTAATTAAAAGAGCTGCTGCAGTTTGGCTGCTTTGCAAAATAGGGAGAATGCACTAACTCTAGAAAAATATTAGAAGGTTAAATAGAACTTTCTGAAACTCTATACAAAAAAAAAAAAACACATAGAGCCTCCAGGCACAGCATTAATAGCATGGTATCACATATGAGCAACCTCATACCTGATCAAATCTTGTAGCAAAAAGATTGAGAGAGGTCACTATTCCACCATTCGGGCCCAGCCCGTATCTACATGCTTCATTCAGGAAAGCAGACGATCATGGAGACCTCAGAGAGCTTTTTTTTAACATTCTGATAGTTGTTGGCCTTTTGCAACGCACACTGGATACCTTACAGAAAAAGACAAAGCTCCACACACACAATTAAGTCTTCTAAGTGCTGCAGTAGATAAATAGCGTGGCCCTTTTCTTACACCAACAAGTGTGACTGTCAAAGTGAAGAGGGTTTACCCCGAGGCTTCCCTTGCCACTAGCCAAGCATTACTATTCCAGACAGAAAAAAAACGCATGCACACGTTCTTTATCTTTCCAGAAAAGAGCCACTACACAGTCAGTAACTCAGTACTTGATCTCAGGTTGGAAAAGACCTTAAAGATCATCGAGTCCAACCACAACCCAACCATACTGCCCAACTCCAACAGCCCTCTGCTCAATCACGTCCCTGAGCACCACAAACAAATGGATTTTAAACACATCCAGGGATGTGACTCAACCACCTCCCTGGGCAGCCTATTGCAGTGCTTAACAGCCCTTTCTGTAAAGAAGTTAATGAGATGTTAAACTGCAGTGACAGTTAACAAACAGCAAAGCAAGTAACATGTCCACATACCAAATTCAAACTTCTGCTAAGATGTTTTGCTAGTAACTCCTGATCAAACAGCCAAAATCACAATCCTAACATCCATCATTTCTATTTTTTCTTAAAACATTCCATTAAGAAGTCACACTAGTATGCCAAATGCAAGCATTGTGTATTACATCCATCTGCACAGCCTACAACTTGAGGCATAAAAGACCTCCACACCTCTCTGAGATTGCAGTCACTTTGGTATAGTATTACTGAATCACAATCCCCAAGCTACCGTGCAGCTTAAGACACAACTGCAATATCTTATAGACCCAGAGAGACAAAAAAGCTTTTATTATGATCAAACTATGCAGAAATAGTTTTTTCTTCACCTCCTACAGCCAAATGCTAATTTGCATGATTTTAAGAACAAAATTAGATTTGTAAATACACAGGGGAAAAGCTGCTGGCCTCCTCTATTACAAACTGGGTGAACAAAAAACACACAAAAGAGATGTGGACAGAGACCCTGTGAGGGTGGTGAGACACTGAACAGGTTGCCCTGCGAGGCTGTGGATGCCCCTTCTCTGAAAACATTCCAGGCCAGGCTGGATGGGGCTGTGAGCAACCTGGGCTAAAGGGAGGTGTCCCTGCCTACAGCAGGGGGCTGGAACTTCCTGAGCTTAAAGGTCCCTTCCAACACAAACTGTTCTATGATTCACACTACTTGTAAAAACATGCTACTAAGCAGAAACACCTGCAGCACATGAGAATGACCCAAGGAGCATAAAAATCTTGCTCACACACATTTCTAATCTCAGATGCGAGAAATACACACTTGAAAACCTTTGGCAACAATCTGCATTATTGCAATCCCAATCCCCCTTCATCCTCCCATGTAAAAGTGACAGCTTTCTCAAAACCTGAGATTTCAAAGATCATTGCAAGACCAAAAGAAAAGATACTGCTTCATGACTTCTTTGTACTTCACAGTGTCCCGGATATCTAGAATGGGAGCAAGCATAAATTGTTTCAGTACATTTATTTTAAAACAGTCTTCTTTGTTAATTTGCTTATCATCAAAAATCTTTCCTTTTCTATCAAGCCTCTTTTTGCCTCAGTAACAAATCTAGTACCAGCAGGAAAAATCTCATACATAAAAAACAAAACAGACCTGCTGTGCTCTCAGCAAATACATGAAACCAGCGTGACTCATGTGAAGCTTCACCAGATTGCTGAGCCATAGCTGCTTATGCTGAATTTTGTTCTTATTTCATTGACATCAGTCAATAAAGCGCACATCTTTCTAATACTGACCACATTATGAGACCCAGGACTGGGAGGCACTCTCTAACTCTTCAGCTGACATCAGTAAGAACACTCTGGTATCCAAAACACCTGCTTTATTTTCTAAGAGATGGGCTAGCTCAGAAAGTTTAAGAGACAGAATCCTCAACAAAGCTAAGTGCTGGCAAGTCTTGGGGAACAGCAGATTTTTGGGAATGGCTGGGCATAAAGCCTTTTGCTTTTAAGGTATTTTATCTAAAAATTAATGTCTTTTACATTGCTTTAAGAAGTTATTTGTTAGCATACAGCCACCGCATGGCTCTGAGGATAGGAAACCCAATCAAATCTGCTAAAATGTTCATTGTCAATGATGGGGAGAAGAAAAGAAAGAAAGCCACATGCATTAAATCACACTCCAACTCCATTATTGAGACAGTTCTCATTAACATCTTCAGAAATTACTTGGATTTAGGACTAAGAGGTGCTTTCAGCATGTTTCCTGATGATACTAAATTGTGAGGAGCTGCTGGCTCTGTCAAGAGCAGAGACACCTTGCAGAGATCTAGGCAAATCACAGAGCCGAGCAATCACCAGTTGCATGAAATTTAACAAGAGCAGGTGCCAGATTCTGCAGCCAGGAAGGGGCACCCCTGGCTACATATACAGTCTGGGGGATAAGATGCTGAGGAGCAACCCTGCTGAAAGCAATTTGGGGAACGTGGCCTACAGCAAGTTGAGCATGAGCCAACAGTGTGCTCAGGCAGCCCAGAAAGCCAACCTTACCCCAGGGTGCATCAGGCCCAGCACTGTCATCCAGGCAAGGGAAGGGACTGTCTCACACAACTCTACCTGGTGTGGATTCACCTCAAGCACCGTGTGCAGGTTTGGGTACCACAATATAAGGATATAAATGGAAGACAGTTTCCAGAGGAAGGCTACGAAATGGTCAAGGGTCTATAGAAGAAGATACGTGAGATGCTGCTGAGTTCCCTCAGTGTTCAGACCAGAGCAGAAGAAGCCTCATGGTGGCCTACAGGTCCTCACAGAGGGCAGAGGGGCAGCACTGAGCTCTGCTCTCTGGTGACAATGACAGGACCTGAGGGAATGGCACAAAGCTGCATGAGGGGAAGGTGAGGCAGGATATCAGGTTCTGCAACAGGGGGTGTGGAACAGTCTCCCCAAGGCAGTGGGCACGTCCCTGAGCTGCCAGAGCTCAAGGAGCACCTGGACACTGCTCTCAGACATATGCTTTGATTTTTTGGGTTGTTGGACTTGATGGTCCTTGGGGGTTCCTTCCAACTGAAAACAATCCAGCACCCACAACAACTTAAAGTCCTCCTCACGTTAGGCCTTGGCACTTTTTAACGGGAGAACAAACAGCCTAACCGAGTGCGTGCTGTGAAATACCTCCTCCTCTTCGCAGAGCATAAGCAAAGCAGCACATCAGAACAGCTCTACCTCGTTCATAGCAGAAGGGAACCACTCCGTTCCTGCAGACCCTACTAACGTGATCCCCCACCCCTCCCCGTTTCTCCCCCATCGCTCTGCCGCCCCTCTCACCGATGTTGGCGGGGAAGGGCAGCTCGTGCACGGCGGGGTCCAGGTTGATCACGTAAGGTGGGCAGCGCTGGCCGTGCAGGTGGGCCGCGAGGCACTGCGGGGACACAAGATGGCGTCAGACCCCGCCCGGCGCGGTGGAATGCGGCAGCGCCCGCCACCACCCCTCACCTGCACGAAGGTGGTTTTCCCGGAGCCGGCCATACCCAGCACCAACACGCACACCGGCGCCGCCGCCGACTCTCCCGCGGCCGCCATCTTTCCCGGCACCACTTTTGCGTTTCCGGGGCGCGATCCGCAGCTTCCGGCCATCGGCCGGAAGCTTTCGATGATTGGCTAGTAGCTTCCGGGATGTGGCCTGCAACTTCCGGCCTGGAGCCGCGCGCTCTCGAGGGTCGTTTCGCCACCGGCCGGGACCGCGTGGAGAACTTGGCGGCGCCCCCGCGGCCTGGGAGCTGGCAGCTGCTGGCAGGAGACGGTTGGAGGTGACCGGAAGGGAGCGGAGGGCCGTGCGTGGGGCTCTGCGGTGGCGTCGCTATGCCGGGCAGTGCGGTGAGTGCCTGGCGGAGGCGATCTGGAGTTGTGCGGCCCCGCTGTAGTGTGGGAGGAGTGGGGGGGGGGGGGGGAGGGGGAACGGATCTCGGTATTTCGGGTCTCTTCCTCGTCTCGAGAGTCAGCCGGCTAACGGCGATAGGACGTGAGGTGATGGCCTTTAGCTGTGCCGGGAGAGGTTCGGGTTGGGTGTTAGGAAATGTTTCCTTTCTGAAAGAGTGGCCAGGTATTGGCACAGCTGAACAGAGAGTGGCGGTATCACCGAACCTGGAGGTGTTCCAAAGCTGTGGAGGTGTGGCACTGAGGGACGTGGGCTGGGTGGGGGCAAACTGACGCTTGGACTTGATTACCGCAGAGGTCTGTTCCGACTTTAGTGATTCTGTGAGTCTAGAAGGATGCTGGGCCTGCCCCAGGGCCCATTCCCCGTGGGAATGGAGACAAGGGGCATAGGGCAGTTGCTGTTTCCACTGACTGCTTCTTAGTATCTGTGGAACCAGTTCATCAGCACATCTCTTGTTGCTTCAGATCATTTACGATGACTTAAATTCTTCATACTGATTTTGGATTATTTTACAAAGCTTAGTAGTGCTAAAAATAGCCAAACATGTGCTGTGTTTGTCAGTCATGGACGTTCTTCTCATGATGGATCAGGGCAGATGATTACAGCAAACTGTGCTCATTCATTTTATCATTATAACATCACACTTAGATGGCCTGATTTTTTTTCCAGCTGCTGATCACACTGAGGTTCCTCCACCTTTCTGACATAAAGTTTCCCATATACTCTTGTATATGCTACTAGCAGCATGTAAACTCTTATCAAAGTAATGCAAACGCAAATCCTCAACTAGAGAAGAAGAGGGAAGAGTAAACTATTGTCTGCTCCTATACATGGTGAAGTTGGAAGTTCTTAGGGTGAAGTTTTTCACCCAGAGGGTGGTGAGGCACTGGAACAGGTTGCCCAAGGAGGCTGTGGATGCCCCATCCCTGCAGGCATTCAAGGCCAGGCTGGATGTGGCTCTGGGCAGCCTGGTCTGCTGGTTGGTGACCCTGCACACAGCAGGGGGTTGGAACTGGATGAGCACTGTGGGACTTTGCAACCCAGGCCATTCTGTGATTCTATGATATGGTTGTCTACATACCAGGAACAAAGTACAGCAAATTAGTTGTTTATACTGACTTGCAAATGTCAGTGGTGTCTGTTAGATTGCATGTCTTAGTAGGAACATAAGAAGTAGCAAGTGATAAATGACAAAACAAAAAGTTAAAGGAAATAGTTGAGCAACTTGTGGAGAGTGACAAAATAATTGAGATGAAGAATGAAAAAAAGAACTCAAAAGAGTATAGAGACAGCATTCTTGGCTTGGAAAATGCAAGAATTATTATGGGAAAAGGCACCATAGAAAAGTCAGTAGATGACAATCTTACTTGTCGCCATGTGGTAAGGTATGGGCAGAAAGCAGGTACCACTGAATTAAAGACAAACTGCATTATGCCCCAGTGCAAGGAGGATTGCATTTCGTATGGGAAGGGGAGAGGGGCTTGTGGCTATTCTGATTGGAGTTCTATTTTAGCTGGAAGTGAAAGGGTTCCGTGTTACAGAACAGCTTCCTTGTTGCAAAAGATGTTTTTTTCCTATTCAAAGAATGGTGTGCTCATCCTCAAAGTGCAGGTGATTGTGCTTGACTGGAAAGAAGAAGAGAAATTATACTGCTGATGTGAACTGTTCTGCTTTGTTAGGCTACCAGCGCTGCGCATCATGGACAGAAGGGCAAGAGGCCAAAGTCTCTGGAAAACAAAAAGTATGTAATATTTTGTGTAGACTTTGACTGAGGGCCAAAATTAAGATTCCTGTTGAAAAACTGCAGCTGACTTTTATGTAGTAGTCTAAATGTTAAGAGCTGTAATGATTTTTGCTTGTTTGATGGAATCTCAGGTGAGATCTACACTGGCCCCTGATGGCTTATAGAGAAGTGTTTATTTTTACACTGTGATGAACTTGTGATTGCTCCTTTCATTGAAATGCTGAGGTAGGATAAATATCTTTTTACTGATGCTCCCAGGTAGCTTACTAATGTCAAACTCTTACAGATATATTGAATACTAATAATATACTGCTGGCATCTGCCAGTTCATAGAACTCATAGTGAGATTTCAAATTGATGTTTTCCAGGACTAAACAATTTGAGGAGATGGAAACTACTCCCCTGGGATTGAACAGTAATTATAATGAGACAGCCAGCAACATCTCTTCTGGCTCACAGAAGAGTGCAGTGAATGGAAGAGCAGAGTCCAGAAGCAAGCGGACCATTCGTCGGCCGGCTTACTGGCTGGAAATGAGGGGCATAAAGAACAATGTGAACAAATCTTCGGATGAGAAAGGTATTCATCACACTTGGCTCAGTGCAAAACTTTTTCCTTTTCTGTTCTCTCATGAGAGATGGAGGGACTGGGTGATTTCTGAAAGATGTGGTGCAGTTCAACCGCAGATTACAAGCTTGATAGTGATGCTGATATGTGAGGATGCTTAAACTTCCTCCACTGCAGAAGTGTAGATGTAAATTTTCTGGTGTTATGCAGTTCCTTTTAGGTGACTTTCTGTTAAAATTAGTGATTCTATGAGTGAAGTCAGTTTTATCTGAAGGAGTGTGTAGGGCATCTGCCAATCGTTTCAGCATTACACAGTAATAACTTGAATAATAGAACCAAGCAATGCTCAAAAGGTACAGAAGCAAATCAGTGTGCAGCATTCTGGTTTAGACATGGCTTTTGTGGTTGTTAGATTTTTGGTGTGGGGGGGATTGAATGTTTTTATAACTTGTTTTCTCTCTACTGTCATTTATGATTTCCTTACTTGGAGTGGATGGGGTCTTATGTTGTTTTAGGGGCACTCAGGACTCCTGGCTTCAGAATCATTTTTCAAACTTTTTGTGTGGCTCTTCTTTCTTTAATGCTTTTTCCTCTTCTCACTAAATTGGAATTGCAACCTTCCTGTTGCAGGGAGGACCAAATATTAACTTGATAAAGGTGCAGTTGCTGCAGTTTCATGTCCATAAGTCCAACCAGTAGCAAGACTGAGCATATTTCCCATGAGTGCAAACATGTGTATTCAATACATGTATACACAGCCAGCCATACAGATCAACTGCAATGGATGTGCCCAGCACTCACACAGGCAGCACTGATGGCATCCATCCCATTTCCCTCTCTGGCTGATGAGCACGGAGGTATGTTAGTGAGAAATAAAAAGGTGTATATACACATATATCAGACATATGTATCTGTGTCTGTACATACATGTGCAGTGTGAATCCCTCCTGTAGCTGAATTAGGCACTGGCCTCTGGATCCTGGTCTTCCCTATTGCTGGCACAAGGACATACAGTGCCTTGTGCCTGCAGAGCCACTCCAGGTGCTGCTGTGCACCTCCTTTCAGACGTGCTCAGACTTGCATATTCTCAGGGGAGTTGGCTGGAACTCCCCTCCTCCCTCTGGTTGCCAGTTTCCACTTGTTCTTCTGCCTTACCACACACACATACGTACACCTGGCTCCCAGTTTTCTTCCCCTTCTCACCCAGTAGTCCAGTTGGCAGTTGCATGCAGTCACACTCACAGACTCATTCCAGGTGGTGGCACCACAGACACACTGGCCACTATGACCTGTATTGCTGAAGTGGCTGGCACTTAAGCCTCCCTGCAGTCACCCATGGACATGGGTCCACAAAATATAGAGTCCTGCACGCAGATACTACACTCGTTCATTCATAGGTATGAGCAAACTTGTGTGCTGACCAACTGCTTGTTTACAAGCAAGTGGCCTTGCCCTCTGTTTTCCCACGTGTTCTTCCCCAAACCACCTCATTCCCTCCCTTTCCTTGCCTTTAGTGTCTTGTGTAATACTTAAATGGCCTTTGCCTGCATTCCATGTATCCCATAACCCCAGGCATTAACAAGACACCACCAATTCAACACACTTCCCATTCCAAAGCATGCTCCAGGGAGCAATTCCCATTGATTCACCTTGAATCTTGTACCTAAAAGGTGAGATTGATGGGTATCACAGGAAGAAGGTATCTGTTTCATTGAATGCCTAGTTTGCCTACTTCTCTGCACTCATGGAGTGTCATAAGACACTATTCTGAGTACATAAGGAGGTGTAAATGCTGGCAGCTTTCTGGGTCTTTGATGAGCCTTCAAACAGTGAGGATAGGTAGAGCATTATCCACGTTTTCCCACCTTTCATTGTCTCTCTGTGCTCCTCTTTGTGTGTGCAGATGAGCTTTTTATGACATAACCTAGCAACTTCTAGCTCTCTTCTAAACACTACAGCTTCCCCAAGCCATGCCATTGCACTGCTCTTTCCATGTCTTCTGTACTGGAGGATTGCAGACCATGGAGTTCCTAATGTGAGTGGGTCATAAAGCTGTGTAATTACCTCACTGGTGTCCAGGGCCCTCACAAAAACCACTTTTTTCTTTACAAGTATGAGGAGAAACTGAGGTAGCAAACAGCTGCTGTTCTGCAGGCTGAGTTTAATAAGACTGAAGCGTTTCTTTTCTTGCTTGTTAGCAGAAGTGCTTTTGAAAGGCAAGAGGAAATCTGAGCACAGGGAAGGTGAAGATCTTAAAGACGCTCCCAAGAAGAAGCAGAAGATTTCTGGTAATATTAAATAACTTTTTATTTCTAGTTACAGGCATACAGGTACTTCAGACTTCCTTTCTGCCCAAATGT